ATTGGATCAATTGCCTTAGCGAAGGAATCCAGATTTCACAAAAGAACCAAACACATCAAGAGACACTTCAACTCCATCCGTGATCAAGTCAAGGAGGGAGACATAGATATTTGCAAAATACATACCGATCTGAATATAGCAGACCCGTTGACTAAGCCTCTTCCACGAGCAAAAAATGACCAACACCAAGACTCCATGGGTGTTAGAATCATTACTATGTAATCTGGATTACTGACTCTAGTGCAAGTGGGAGAATGAAGGAAATATGCCCTAGAGGCAATAATGAAGTTGTTATTTATATTTCCTTATATCGTGATAAATGTTTATTATTCATGCTAGAATTGTATTAACCGGAAACTTAGTACATGTGTGGATACATAGACAAAACAAAGTGTCCCTAGTATGCCTCTACTTGACTAGCCCGTTAATCAAAGATGGTTATGTTTCCTGACCATAGACATGTGTTGTCATTTGATGAACGGGATGACATCATTAGAGAATGATGTGATGGACAAGACCCATCCTTTAGCTTAGCATAATGATCGTTAAGTTTTATTGCTATTGCTTTCTTCATGACTTATACATATTCCTTCGACTATGAGATTATGCAACTCCCGGATACCGGAGGAATGCCTTGAGTGCTATCAAACGTCACAACATAACTAGGTGATTATAAATATGCTCTACAGCTATCTCCAAAGGTGTTTGTTGGGTCGGCACAGATCGAGATTAGGATTTGTCACTCCAAGTATCGGAGAGGTATCTCTGGGCCCTCTCGGTAATACACATCATAAGAAGCCTTGCAAGGAAAATGACTAATGAGTTAGTTGTAGGATGATGTATTACAGAACGAGTAAAGAGACTTGCCAGTAACGAGATTGAAATAGGTATGAAGATACCGATGATCGAAACTCAGGCAAGTAACATACCGATGACAAAGGTAATAACATATGTTGTCATAACGGGTTGACCGATAAAGATCTTCATAGAATATGTGGGATCCAATATGAGCATCAAGGTTCTGCTATTGGTTATTGACCGGAGAGGTGTATCGGTCATGTCTACATAGTTCTCGAACCCATAGGGTTCACACGCTTAACGTTCGATGACGATATTGTATTATATGGGTTATGTGATTTGGTGACCAAATGTTGTTCAGAGTCCCGGATGAGATCAAGGACATGACGAGGAGTCTCGAAATGGTCGAGAGGTAAAAATTTATATATATAGGACGATAGTATACGGACACCAGAAGTGTTCCGGAGGGTACCGGTTACATATTGGAGTACTAGAGGGGTTACCGAAACCCCCGGAGGGAAGATATGGGCCATATGGGCCATGAGAGGTGAGAACACCAGCCCACAAGGGGTCGCGTGCCACCCTATGAAAAGAGGCCGAGTGGGAGAAGGAAAAGAGGGGGTTCGGCCCCCCTTCCTTCTCTCTTCCCCCTTCCCTTTTCTTCTCCGCCAATTATGGAAGGGGGGAGGCTGAATTGGGAAAGACCCCAAGTAGGATTCAGCCTACTTGGGGCGCCCCCTGGCTGCCTCTCCTCCCCTCCCACCTATATATATGTGAGGAAGGGGGCGCCTAGAACATACAACATCAATTGTTAGCCGTGTGCGGTGCCCCCTCCACAGTTTACACCCCCGGTCATATTCTCGAGGTGCTTAGGTGAAGCCCTGCACAGATCACTTCACCATCACCATCACCACGTCGTCGTGCTGACAAAACTCATATACTACCTCGACACCTTGCTGGATCAAGAAGGCGAGGGACGTCACCAAGCTGAACGTGTGCAGAACTCGGAGGTGCCGTACGTTCGGTGCTTGATCGGTCGAAGCTAGAATAAGTTTGACTACATCAACCGCGTTGTCAAACGCTTCCACTTACAGTCTACGAGGGTATGTAGACACACTCTCTCCCCCTCGTTGCTATGCATCTCCTAGATAGATCTTGCATGAGCATAGGATTTTTTTTTGAAATTGCATGCTACGTTTCCCAACAAATTCTTCATCCAGTTGCTACTTTTACCGTTTTACTTTGCTACCAACTATCCCTATGACTTGCGTTTAATCTTGTAACTAGAAAGACAAGGGGATTAACTACCCTCTTGTCGTGTTGGGGGACAAGCGTGTTCTGTGTTTTGTGTGCATGTGCCGCTTAGTTTGTTTTGCTAGGTGACTCCTACTGGATTGATAACCTTGATTCTCTAACTAGGGGAAATACTTGCTGCTGGGCTACATCACCCTTACACTTGGGGGAATCCCAACCACTCCTACGGGAGCAAGCAGAGCCAGCTTCCAATATATTGCATAATAGACAAAGTTCAGACAAATGCAAAATAAACCAAATTGAGAGATAGTTCGACTAGTAGTCAACATCATGAACAGGATCCATCTAAAATCCCTGCCTCACACCTACAAAAGAGCTAAAACATGTGAACAAAATAAAAAGAGATCTAGGAACGTAGGTTTTTTAGAGACACGAAACAAGTCACCCCCTAGGGGGAAGGGGCGAAAATAACAAGCATGCCCCGAGCAATCATCACTCCTTCAAGCATCTGGGTCATCATCCGATGTAGAGTCATACTCATCTCCTGGTTCTTTAGGCTCAGATAGGCTGATGCAACATGAGTTGACTTAGGGTTAGTGGACATGTGGGCCATCTGGTTTCTAGGCCCACATGTCAGTGACCCTAAGTCACTCAGCCCTAAGTCAGCCAATCCTAGTCGAGTTTCTCCAGCCTTAGTGATGTGTAGAATCCTTCCAGTAGTTGCAGCATGACACTTGCATGTATCCTCAAGGTCGAGTGTTGGAGCGTAGTTGATCCTTCCGACTTCTTATCAAAACATGCTTTATTACGAGTTTTCCATGGACTTGCAAAATGCAACAAGTCCAATCACATGAAATACCTTGGCAATGTTTTTATCGAAGCCAATCATGTACTTCACCACTCTACCAGATCATCTAGATGTGCACGCTGAGGTAGTCATCTAGGGTGGCGAGCTAATACCTCTTCTCTGGACATGGCTCTCCTACGGGGAAATTGTCAGGAGGGCCGAGGATGCTACAACTTCTCCGGCTGTTGTCATTCAAGTGTCCTACATATTCATTCGTGTCCATTTTGTGGTTGGATTTTTCTTGGTTACATGTGAAGTCGTAGTCTTGTGCTTTCTTCTGTGCTTCTAGACATTGGTTTTGGGATGCCTCCGAGAAGCGCTTTATTTAATACCTTTGAGCTAGGCGAGATGGTTTTTGGAGGTTTCAAGTTTTATCTACTCCACTTACCATGAAGGTACTCATTCCCAACATAATTTCATAACCACTTTTGTGTCTCTTTCTTGGGAAGTGCTCTAGAGCTTTTCTCCCGAGGATTTAAAATTTTATCATCCCTTTTTTCATATCAATGATAGTACCCCTACAGTTCTCCGAAATGTCCTTCCGAAAATAAATATACATAGAGGGTTAGGTTTCGTATCCATAAAAAATCACAGGGACATAGTTCATATTACCAAGCATAAGAATATCTTCAATTTTTCCAATTGGTCTTTTTGTTGTGCCATCTGCCATATGGACATTAAGTTCAGATCTTGAAAGGGGTTTTGACCCAAGTGCATTATGAAAATTCTGTGGAATAATGGATACACTTGCACCTAAATCACACAGAGCATCACAAGTGAAATTATTGATACTAATCTTTATTGATGGTTCCCATCCATCTTCCAACTTCATAGTGATCTTGGGTGTAAGCCCTGCAGTTCACATGGTAAAAAAACTTCCTAGGGATCAAAGCTTCTAGGATTCCTAGGGATCATAGCTCAAAAGTGGGATTTGCTCCTCCAAGATAAGATCCTCACCCAAAATCCTCAATTACTCTGCTCTAGCAACTCAACTCCTTTGTTTTTACTGTCTGGTACCTCCGAGTTTTTCCACTGAATACTACAAACCTTTGAGAAATAAGTAATCCCCGCTAAGCGAACCGTGTTTCTTATAGCTCCAGAACTGCACACTCTTGTCTGATACTATTGAACTATATTTCTTTGAGATCATCTCTATTAGCTCTGACACCTCTGAGCAAAACATTTCCATCTATCACTTCAGAGGCATTCTATATTTTCTTCAGTATCTAGAGCCTCTATATTAGTCAGCTACTTCCAAGCAAATCCATCTGATATCTCCAAGCTGGGATTTAGGGTTTGCACCCTAGGTGTTGTCCTGTAGCACCTTTTGGTGCCCCTCCCTAACATAAATCCTCCTCTCCTTCGGTGGCGAGATAGTTTTCTATTGTGTGACAATGTGAGCTTCTGGTGGAGGTGGCGGAGGCCGACCAACAACACCTCTCAGTATACCAGCCAACACAAATGCTTGAGTTCAAGCCATACACTTACTCGTGTAATTCTAGGGAACTAGAAAATAGGGGAGGCACTAGCATTTCACAAGACAGAGCCAACAACATACAACAAAACTAAGTCACCAGCAACCAACCAGGTATAGAGTTTACACACAGTCTATGGGCCATCCATGACGCTGAGGTATAAAGAGTTAACAGACAGATACATCAACACACAAGACAACATGTGAATACATTCACAGGGTGATCGCGAAGCAAGAATCGTCCTGGGATACCATTTTCGTGCTCCAAAGACCAATACATGTCGAATGCTACCTACATATTCAGAGATACATATACCACATCATGTCAGGGATCACATGGGGCTTTTCTCTTATCACTTTGATTACTTCTACATAGGACTCAAGGCCGCGATCTGCCGCTCCAACTACATTAAAAGAAGAATAGATTAATGATTATGATAGATGTACGATGTAAAATTGTGCTTTGGTTACATAATTTCACAAATGAGCCATGTTGCAGGGTAGTCGGTATCTTATTCTGGTACTTGGCAAATATTAGTGAAGCTTCGAACACAAGGAAATACCACTGCTTTTAGATCTACCCCATACATCTAAAGAAAAGTGAAGACAATATTAAAACAAAAACATTCAAGGAGCAAATGGGACTTTCAAAGACCTCGAATAAGTGGTCTAGAAACCAAACAATTAGCAATAGGTAAATTGTAACATCAACAAAAATAGTGTCAGGGTTATTCTTTTTGATCTTATAAAAGTTATACGACATATTATGATACTAGAGAGAAACTGGAAGTTAAAAGCCAACATAGGCACATAAGTTGGTACCTGCATCATGGTCTGGAGTTGGTTGCGCACATCACAAAACTCATTCCTAAGAAGAGCCAATGGCATGAGACACCTGAAATAATGCAGACATACAACACTATCAAATTCTGGATAGGTTAAGCAAACTAAAATGGAATGGTTGGAAATTGAAACCATGTGCTTAAAAAAATTCTAGCCATCTAAAACTTTAATTGCATTATAAACAGAAGTCTAGAGCCAACAAGTTACAAGAGAATCATCAAATAGGCATATATTTAGATAAAGAACCAAATTCTATCAATCACATGATTGGCGATCAAGTGAACAAGTAGGTTAGTTATTAAGAATGTTAGATTAGTACTCCCTCCGTCCGAAAATACTTGTCATCAAAATGGACAAAAAGTGTAGGGAATATGAGTTAAAAGTAGTGTCATAAAAGACAAAATAAGCTAACAGGCTTGCATACAGGATTTGACCAACACAAAGAGTAGAGAATAACTACTGTGCAACATAGATAATGAGGTACCGTGTACTGACCTTTCTTTGCTTTTGGCCACATAGGACTGACGAAATTGCATGCAGGCGAGTTTCACTTTCTTAGCACCAACACTAATACATGACAAAAAGAGCAACATCAGGAAACTAGAGTTTTTTTCAAACTCATTGAACATGGCATGCTGATACATATGGCATACTTGCATGCCATAATAATATTCTCAAGGAGCCATTTCCTATCATGGTTGTCAACACAATCTTTTTTTGATAAACTAAAAAGAAAATAGTATTGGCCTTATGGCGATAGTAGATCAGTAGTGCCAAAGATGTTTACAAAAGTCAAAATTCCTCCCACCGAGCCATAACATAGGGATAAATATTGACATTTCCGTTACATCGCTCATAACTAAATTCAGCTCTCCTAATTATGGCTAAACAACACGAGCCGCATGCCCACGCCCATGACATACATACCCCGCACCGCCACATCCAAATAGGAACAACATTGATGCATAGGAGACATTAGAAAAGGTCCAATTGTGTGACGTAGACTAGCAGATCGTTACTACCATGATTGTTTGTAGAACGACAGATTTTCATTGCTGACCTAGAATAACGCCATTGGACCAATAACAGATTCAGGTAATACTAGAAATGTTCACAAGACCACAAAGTTTTCTGTGATGCGGTATAGAATTGCAATTGGCAGGAATACCGACAATTCTGTTGCAGGCACTACGCTGACATACACGAATAGAAATGTGAACAGACTTGAAAAACCTCCACTGACATTACACTGAATAAGAAATTATTAGTACCAGAAACAGTAGCAAGACGACAAAGTTCATAACATTACTGTTGGCATGAATACAGGAACTTCCATTTCAAGAAACACAACCAAGCTCGTCTCTTCTTCTAATTACACACCACAACCAACATGACAAACGCATCTGAATAACATCGATGCACAGGAGAAAAATAGGTGAGGATAGAAAAGAAGGGCTTATCATCATCATACGTGGAGCTGCTCCCAATGAGCTGATGCACCAGGGCGTCCACCTTGTAGAAGTCCACCTCGGGCTGGTTCCTGCGAATGGAGCAGACCAGATCAGTCAGGACAGCAAACGAGATAACGAGATCCGTACAACAAGACCAGAGGGGGAGGGGGAAGGGGCGGGGTTACGGACACCAGGCTGGCGATGTCGTTGAGGATCCTGTCGGCGTCATTGAGGAAGATGTTGATGACCTCGGCGACGAAGCCCGTGGCAGCACTGCCCTCGTCCATCGATTGCAGCTGCTGGAAATACGCGTCCACACTACCCTAGATCGATCACGCCAAGGCAAAGGTCAGCCAGATAGCCAGTCGAAACCCATCGTCAACGCCGAGAGCAGAGAACACGGCGATTCCCGGGGATTCCAGCCCGCAACCACACGGCGGCTATACAAGTGAGGGGAGGGACTCACCGTGGCGTACATGGAGGCGATGTGGGCGTTGAGCTGGGCCCTGAGCGAGGCGGCCGCCATGGCGATGCGGGGCGTGGAGAGGAGGCGGGCGAGCACGTTCGGGTCGACGGAATCCGAAGGTGCTGCGGCGGTGGCGGAGTGGACAAGGACAGGAGATGAGTGCAGGTTATATAGCTCGACTCAGCCTTTTGACAGGGAGTGCTCGATTACTCTGGTGGCTGGCCGCCATTGAATGGAGAGCTTGGGGATGGCGTGCATGCATGCATGGATGCATGTATGTAGCTACGTTTGGGTGGTTGGATGGATGCTGGCCAGCTATCTACAGATTGACAATGCAAGCTCACTTTCAATGCATAGCCCATCACAAATAGTATGTATTAGTATTAGTATGTATTACGTTCTTCGGTCGTAATTTAACTTTTTTTGGCACGTGGTCCAATACGGCTGGCTCCCTATGCGTTTTATCAAGGAGGCCAAATTCACTGTCTTGACCCTTTCTAAAAACTTTAGTGCAATTTTACCCTGATCTAAATTTTTCTTCGTAATCTGATCCTTTTCCTATCGTCATCGTCCTTGGCGGTAGGGTAACACAGCCTACCGCCGAGGGCTATGGCGGTAGGACTTGACTGCGCCGTCACGGCCGTTTGAGATTGAAAATAGCCTACCGCCATAGTCCTTGGCGGTAGGATCTGAAATATATATATTTGATGTGGCCACCATTAGAATTGAAGCACGGTAGTGGTGAGTTGGCTAGCGTGGGCAGCTTTACTCGGTTGGTCTTGAGTTTGAGCATTACTAAGGCCATTTTTTGTTTGTTTTTTTGCGCAATAAACAATAAACAATTTGTATAATTAATATTAGCATATTAATATTGATAAAAATATAGTTATCTGTAAATGTTTTATAAAATCCCTGCAAAGGTAAACGAATATGATGTGATAAAAAATTTGTTCAATTAATGTTAAGGTATGGATTATTTATAAAAAAATTGTCCAAATTTGTTTATTTTTCTTTTGTGCAATAAAAAATAAAAATTTGTATAATTAATATTAGGATATGAATTATTATAAAAATATAGTTTTACTTATCTGTAAATGTTTTATAAAATCCCTGCAAAGATATAAACGAATATGATGTGATAAAAATTTGTCCAATTAATGTTAAGGTATGGATTATTTATAAAAGTATTGTTTTACTTATATGTAACTATTATAAAATTTCCGCAAAGATTTGTTTTTCTGCAGTCTTTTTGCGGCTTAGATCTGTAACATACATGGGAGACAACATTTTTACTCTTTGCTCATCATGAAGATTATGCGCTCATCATACTTTACTTTGTTTAACTCTGTTGTTGTCTGTCTCTGACTAGCTATGTTAATTATGAGTATTCTTTCATGTTGTTTTGCCAAAAGAGCTACATATGGTGTGTAATTAATAATTGCTTGCAACAAATTATTAGAATAAAAGCACTTTTTGCTTGATTTTGAACTATTTAATTAAAAGTAAATGTTTATTCTCAGCAGCACTAAGATTGGCCGGCTCTACGCTCAAACCACTACACACACACGCACCTCCAAGTCCTCCAGTTTAGTTGCTACAATGTTATAAATCTTGTGATACAAAGATGACCTCTCCAGCAAGATCAAATACGGAGTACGATGTAAGTTCGTTCTCAGTATTATCATCCAAACACTGATGCAAATCATGGTGTGCAATGGTCTTCCGACTTTAAACTAACTAAGAAAAATAGCTGGAAGTAGTACAACCACTGGGTAAGCAAATTATTTGTGGATATAGAAGAGGATAAATAAATGGTCATAGAGCCGTATTTCATCCTTTCTTGGGTTCTGGCGTCAAAACACAAGTTTCAAAAGAACATATACAAACTGCAAATTAGAAGTCCGACTGATTCCAAAAGTGTTGAGCAGTTTAAGATGGATTGAGCAGTTTCAAAAAACTATTTTTATAAATAATACATACCTTAACATTAATTGAATTTTTTTTTCACATCATATTCGGTTATATCTTTGCGGGGATTTTATAAAACATTTGCAGATAAGCAAAACTATATTTTTATCAATAATTCATATCCTAATATTAGTTGTACAAATTGTTTATTATCATCCAAACACTGATGCAAATCATGGTGTGCAATGGTCTTCCGAACTTTAAACTAACTAAGAAAAATAGCTGGAAGTAGTACAACCACTGGGTAAGCAAATTATTTGTGGATATAGAAGAGGATAAATAAATGGTCATAGAGCCGTATTTCATCCTTTCTTGGGTTCTGGTGTCAAAACACAAGTTTCAAAAGAACATATACAAACTACAAATTAGAAGTCCGACTGATTCCAAAAGTGTTGAGCAGTTTAAGATGGATTGAGCAGTTTCAAAAAACTATTTTTATAAATAATCCATACCTTAACATTAATTGAACAAAATTTTATCACATGATATTCGGTTATATCTTTGTGAGGATTTTATAAAACATTTGCAGAAGCAAAACTATATTTTTATCAATAATTCATATCCTAATATTAGTTGTACAAATTGTTTATTGTTTATCGGGCAAAATAAAAATGGCCTTAGTAAGGCTCAAACCGACCAACCTAGTAAACCTGCACAGGCTAGCCAACTCACTGCCAAAGTGCTTCTATTCTATTGGGCGCCACACCAAATATATACATTCCAGACCCTACCGCCAAGTACTATGACGGTAGGATATTTTCAACCACAAACGACCGTGACGGCGCAGTCAAGTCCTACCGCCATAGCCCTCGACGGTAGGCTGTGTTACCCTACCGTTAAAAACGATGGCGGTAGGAAAAGGGTCAGATTACGAAAAAAAATTAGATCAAGGTCAGATCGCGCTAAAATTTACAAAAAAAAGGTCAAAACAATGAATTCGGCCTACCAAGGATGGGTTGGCATTTAATATGGTCATTACCGTTGATGACGGTTGTGTCATTGTTTCTTTTTATCGGTATATAGTCTTGGTGCAGGCGGTATGGTCTTCGTGACCACTAAAGGTGTCGGGTGGGCCGATATGATGTTGTTACACGTTGCAGTACTGATGTCTATCGGTGATGTTCATATGGGAAGCTTTTTTTTTAGGGAATATGGGAAGCTTCTATACGGTGCTTTATTCGCCAGTTCAAATAACTGGCGCTCATTGCCGCAGCTGGTTGGCCGGCTCATGACAGCTATCATAGCGAAAATGAATTACGCAAAAAAACACCGTGAAAATAATTTTCCTATAAGGAATAGACCTCCCGCCGCTTAGATCTTGTGCAGGTTACCTAACCAACAGACCAATTAGTCGGGAGTGAATCATTCAAGCGAATAGTTTAAGAATAAGTTTAGACGCGCTTTCTATTGCAGACTGAGTTGTAGAAAAACGTGATTTAAAAAAAATGAGATCAAAACTTAAAATCTCACATATTTGAAAACAAAACATGAACTAAAAAAGTTCATGTAATCAAACAAGTTCATGAATTCAAAGTTCACGAATTAGAAAGAAGTTCATCGATTTTTAAAAAAGTTCACAAATTTTCAAAAAAGGTTCATTGATTTTGCAAAACAGTTCATCGATTTTCAGAAAAAAATCAAAAATTCGAAAAAAGTTCATCGATTTTGAAAAAAGTTCATCAATTCTGAAAAAGGTTCACAAATTTTTAAAAAGTTCACTATTTTGGCAAAAAAATCAATGATTTGAAAAGAGTTCACAAATTTTGAAAAAGTTCATTGAATATGAAAAAAAATAGTTAACCGATTTGAAAAAAGTTCATCGATTACTTAAAAAATCACCAATTTGAAAAGAATTCATCGATTTTGGATAAAAGTTTGCATATTTGAATAAAAGTTCATGGTGGAAAAAAATGGTTCCTGAAATTCTAAGAAAAATGTTCATGAATTTGTGAAGAATCCGTGCATTAATGAAAAAGGAAAAAGGAAAAGGATAAAAGGAAAATCGAATAAAAAACGTCCAAAAGAAAACCAGGAACTGAAAAAGGAATAAAAGAGGGAAAAAGAAAGCGTTTCACAACGACTGCGATGGCGTGGTGGTTCATTCGCTTCCTTCGAGCAGAGTCGTCGCGAGTTCAAAGCTGTGCTTGCCTCACATTTTTTACGGGTCTTAGTATGTTTGCCTCCTCTTCTTGAACGCTCTATTGCAATGCATAGCCTATTCACTGATAGTAGAGTGTGAGGCGTGTATTGCCACGTGGTCGTTATTTAGCTCTTTTTTTGCATGTGTCTATTATGGCTGGCTCGCTATGCTTTTTACCTAAGCTGGGTCGGCATTTAATACGGTCACGCCGCTGATTATGGTTGTATTGTTATTTCTCTTTATCAATATAGTCTTACTTGGTGCAGGCGTATGGACTTCATGGTGAATAAATGTGTTGGGTGTTAGCAGCCGGTCCATCAAGTCCATTGCAAAGGACGACACAAGCCAAGTCAGCGACGGCCACGTCAACCATTCAAGCTCTGTCGCTGACAGTGGACCAAGCAAGAGGATTCGACGCCCGTCCACTCGCTATGCAGGTAAGGAGTGGGCCACATGCTCTGTTAAATAGGAAAGGAAAGGGTCATGAGGGATTTGGCCAGTTTGGCACGGCAGTGCCGCCGTTGCTTGTAACTCTCTTCCTCTTTCCTTTCGGCTTGTAATTTGGAATTAGAGCTACAGATCTGAGTGAGGTTCGTCAATAGAGAGATCCTAGCCCGTTGCTAACAATTGGTACTCAGAGCCAAAAATTTCCCACCCCGCTGCACTGGAGCATCACCACGACACGCGCGCGGCGGTGGCGGCGGCGCGCCGGCGGCGAGAGCTGATGGAGAACCTCTCTGCAGCGGGCAAGGCGTTGTACGAGACGCTCACGTCCGCGGCGACGATCGCCCACCAGCAATAGAAGAAAGAGCTTGAGGAGCTCATCATCGCGGCGGTCGGCCACGCCGTCGACGCGGCGATCTCCAAGTCTGTTCCGCTCGCAGTCGACCAGGCGTTGGGATCCATGGTCGAGGACTTGCAAGCCTACACCGATGGCGCCGAGCAGGACCTACACAAGCAAATCAGTGACCTCCGCGCCTCGATTGGTCTCGCCTCCAACTCGGGCACGGCGACAGTGCGGTCGCCTTCGTCCAGGGGAGCGGCGGAGACTGGCCCCGATGGGCACCACGGACATTCGACTACACGGGGGTCGGGACCTGGGGCTTCGCTGCCCTACGTTTCGCCTCCGGCACGAGGTATCACCGATCCGCCCCCCATCGTCTTCGTTTGCCAGTCTGATCCATCACGAGCGCCGCGCATCTCAGTTTCAGTCCCAATCTCACCATAACCGCACACCGAAGTGTGATTTCCCCGTTTTGACGGCGTCAATCCTAAGTTCTGGCAGGCCTGGTGTGAAGATTACTTTGCTCTATTTGATACTGACCCTGCGCTATGGATAGCGATCGCCGCGATGCAGTTTGAAGGGCCTGCAGCGCGTTGGCTTCCATCGGTTCAGTCTAAGTTTGCACATGCGTCTTGGCAGGAATTAGTGCTGCAGTAGTGCATAGGTTTGGGCGAAATCAGCACCAAACCTTTGATTCGTCGTCTATACCGCTTGCGCCAAACTGATTCAGTAGATGATTACATCCTAGAATTCTCGGCTCTGATGGATCAACTTTCTGCATATGAACCTAATCCTGATATGATGCACTATACTACTCGGTTCATAGATGGTTTAAAACCTGCTGCTCGTGTAATTGTGGCTGTTCAACGCCCCCCAGATCTCGATACTGCATATTGTATTGCATCTATGCAGGAAGAGGTGGGCGACGGCGAGACCGAGCTTAATTCTTCGAGGTACAGTCGACAACCAAGTTCCTCTTCATCGAGCCGTCAGTACAAGGCTAAACCTCCCGATGAGCTTCGTGAGCCCAATGTCAAACCAACTCAGGCGGATGATAAATTAGCTACCCTGAAAGCATATCGTCGTGCAAAAGGACTCTGTTGTATCTGCGGTGAACGTTGGGGCCGTGATCATAAATGCAACGCAACTGTGCAATTACATGTGGTGCAAGAGATGTTGGAATTCTGTGATCTGACTTCTCCAGACTCTGATGACAGTGCTGATGATTTGATGGTCTTGTCGACAGAAGCTCAGTCTGATAAATCTGAACCCAGTGCTATCAAGCTCAGTTGTCAGTTGCAAGGGGAATGGTTTGTGTTTCTGTTGGACTCGGGTAGTTCCCATTCTTTCCTCAGTGCTAAGGCAGCAGCAATTGTTCCGGGGCACAAGCTACTAGCTCGTAAGCAACAAGTTCGAGTGGCAGGAGGGGGTCATCTTGAGTGCACTCATATGATACCAAAATGTTCTTGGTCAGCAGATGGATACAAATTCAAGTCTGATTTCAAAATCTTGCCATTGCAGTTTTACGATGGGATCATTTGTATGGATTGATTGGCTGCTAGAGGCACTATGCAGGTGAATTGGGAGCAAAAGTGGCTTTCATTTGAGCACTTTGGGCAACGAATCTTCCTCCAGGGGCATCCCCCTGCCGTGTTTGATATTACTGTTGTTGAGCTGCAGTTAATTCAAGGGCAACAGAATCTCGACCTTCCTGAGGAAATACAATGCTTGTTGGATGGTTTCTCTGCAGTTTTTTATGCTCCTACTGGAATTCCACCTCGTCGTGCCTGTGATCACAAGATTCCCTTGATTCCGGGGGCACAACCAGTAAACATCCGGGCGTATCATTATTCTCCTAAGCTCAAGACTGAAATTGAGAAGCAGATTGCAGAGATGTTGCAATCAGGGATCATCAAACCCAGCACTAGGCCATTTGCTTCACCCATTATCATGGTCCGGAAGAAGGATGGAACCTGGCGCCTTTGTGTTGATTATCGCCATCTGAACTTATTGACAGTGAAGAGCAAGTATCCAATGCCTGTTATTGATGAGCTGTTGGATGAGATATCTGGTGCATCTTGGTTTACCAAGTTGGACCTTCGTGAAGGTTATCATCAAATCCGTTTGGCCCCTAGAGATGAGTACAAGACGGTGTTCCACACACACAACGGCCATTTTGAATTCTCTGTCTTGGCTTTTTGGTTCACTGAGGGCCCTTATACTTTACAATCTATCATGAACACAAATCTCTCACTTGTTCTACGTCATTGTGCTGTGGTGTTTTTTGATGACATTCTCATCTTCAGCAAGACGTATGCCAAGCATATCGAGCACTTGCGTCAGGTGCTCCAGTTACTTGCAGAGAAGCAATGGAAAGTCAAAGGATACAAGTGTACTTTTGCCCAGCGATCTGTGAAGTATCTTGGTTATGTGGTTTCAGAAGAAGGTGTTGCTACCGACCCTCAGAAAGTGGCAGATGTTCAGAACTGGCCTACCCCTACTTCTCTCAAAGAACTTCGTGGATTTCTGGGACTATCAGGCTACTACCGTAAATTTGACCGTCAATATGGCGTCATCAGCCAACCTCTGACAAACTTGCTCCGTAAGAACGTTCCTTTTGTCTGGACAATTGACTCTCAACTAGCCTTTGACACCCTGAAGCAAGCATTAGTGAGTGCTCCTATGTTGGCCTTACCGGATTTCAAAGTTCATTTTGTCATTGAGACGGATGCAAGCGACACTGGCGTGGGCGCTGTACTGATGCAACATGGACACCCTCTGGCATATGTGAGCAAGGGATTGGGACCGTGAACGAGGGGCCTGTCAACTTATGAAAAGGAATATATGGCTATCCTACTAGCTGTTGAACAGTGGCGTGCATACTTGCAACACGCTGAATATTTGATTCTTACTGATCATTGCAGTTTGGCACATCTGGGTGATCAACGTTTGCACACTCCTTGGCAGCAAAAAGTGTTCACTAAGCTACTTGGATTGCAATTTCAGATTAAGTATAAGAAGGGAATTCATAACAGAGACGCAGACGCCTTATCGCGGCGACCGGCCCCTGATAGTTCTTTGCTCACCGTCACTCAGTATTGCCCTACATGGATGTTAGATATTGTGGAGGCCTATACAATTGATCCAGTTGCTCAAGAATTGCTCACTCGCTTAGCTCTCTCTAGTCCGGCTGAAGATCACTATTCTTTGCGTGATGGCTTGATTCGCTACAAGGATCGTATCTGGATTCCCAATAACACTCCTATGCGTACCAAAATCTTGGAAGCTCTTCATGACTCACCCCTCGGAGGACACTCTGGTATTCCAGTTACATTACGAAGAATTAAGCAGAATTTCTATTGGAAAGGGATACGAGCTTCAGTGCATCAGTACGTGCAGGAGTGCACTGTCTGTCAGCGCGCTAAGCCTGACAGAGCTAAGTATCCTGGCCAACTGGCACCTCTGCCTGTTCCTTCACAGTATTGGCAAATGCTCACTATGGATTTTGTCGAAGGTTTGCCTCGTTCTGGCCGTTTCAATTGTGTCATGGTGGTAGTGGACAAACTCTCTCGTTATGCCCACTTTATCGGTCTTTCACATCCATTCACTGTCTCTGTGGTAGCCACAGCTTTCATGGATAATGTGCATAAGCTATATGGGATGCCAGAGTCCACTGTGTCTGATCGAGATCGAGTGTTCACCAGTCGCTTCTGGCGTGAACTGGCTGCTCTCACGGGAGTTAAGCTTCATATGAGTTCCTCGCAGCACCCCCAAACAGATGGAACTAGAACGTGTGAATCAATGTTTGGAAGGTTACTTGCGGTGTTTTACGCAGGCTTGTCTGGTCAAATGGGCCCAATGGCTATCACTGGTAGAATTTTGGTATAACACCAGTTTGCATTCTGCTCTGGATGGTAAATCTCCGTTCGAGGTTCTGTATGGACATACGACACGACACTTTGGCATTACTACAACCGATGCATGTTCTGTGCCTGAACTGGATGAATGGCTTAAAGAGAGAGCGTTGACATTACGTTTGTTGCAATAGCATTTGGAATGCATCAAGCTTCGTATGAAGAACCAGGTTGATAAAAAAAGATCTGATCGTGTCTTTCAGGTTGGTGATTACGTGTTCCTGAAACTTCAGCCATATATACAATCTTCAGTGGCTCCGCGAGCGCATCATAAGTTGTTGTTCAAGTATTATGGCCCATTTCAAGTTCTGGAGCGCATTGGCGATGTTGCCTACCGGCTCCTACTGCCTCCAGGTTCACGCATCCATCCTGTAATTCATGTTTCCCAGTTGAAGAAAGCTTTGGGAGAACAGTATAAGGTGGAAGCCGAGCTACCTCCTGCCAGTGCTGCTCTTGCTGTTCCTGTGAAAGTGTTGCAGCGCCGTTTTCGTCAGGAAGGCCATTCTGCTGTACCGCAAGGGCTGATACAGTGGTCAGGGCAATCCGAAGATTTGGCAACCTGGGAGGACCTCGACGAACTAAAGCAACGGTTTCCACGAGCAACAGCTTGGGGACAAGCTGTACTTCAAGGGAGGGGGAATGTTAGCAACCGGTCCATCAAGTCCACTGCAAAGGACGACACAAGCCAAGTCAGGAACGACCACGTCAACCATTCGAGCTTTGTCGCTGACAGTGGACCAAGCAAGAGGATTCGACGCCCGTCCACTCGCTACGCAGGCAAGGAGTGGGCCACATGCTCTGTTAAATAGGGAAGGAAAGGGTCATGAGGGATTTGGCCAGTTTGGCACGGCAGTGCCACCGTTGCTTGTAACTCTCTTCCTCTTTCCTTCCGGCTTGTAATTTAGAATTAGAGCTACAGATCTGAGTGAGGTTCGTCAATAGAGAGAGATCCTAGCCCGTTGCTAACATTGGGTTGCTGATGTGATGTTGTTACACGTTGCGGTGTTGTTGTCTATCGCTGGTGGTCATATGGGCCCTATACGAACACCACTGTTACCTGCATGCAAACCCATAATATCTCAGGCCATGAAGCTCTTATGAACGGACCCCACAAATGACCCATGGAACACCGAGAGAAACCACAACTCATCATTTCTAAGGAGCTTAGTAACTTGGATTAATATCTTTGTTGCTTAGGAATATTCTTGGCATGTTGACATCTTGAAAATAAAAAACAGCAATACACAAGAGTGTTTTCTGTGCTTAAAGAAAGAAAGAATATCCATAAAAAACACAATTTCATCAGATGCGTCATTTGTCATCTGCGGTGGGCTCGCTAAAATTACTATATTAAATGTGACCGCGTTATATTTCCTCTGCTCAAAATTGACGATTTTCCGAAAGCATGCATCCATTATTGTCTACCTTTGGCATGTAATATGCAGGAAATATGTTTGGTTTGGCAAGATGATAATAATTTGAGTGTACTTATGGGTTTTAATATCATACTTTATGGTTGTTTATGGTGTACACATACAAAATCAATGGCCAAAGTACCATATTAAAGATCTTCCACATCAAAAAATACAATTTGGATTCAATAAACTCTTTTTACAAAGGAAATCCTAAACAAGAATAGTTATGCAGTAGTTGAAGTACTAACTTGCCAACCAGTTTTCCAACACAGACACATGAATAATACTCATGAGTCATGACTGCGTTCTTTTGGGAGCAAAAAGGAAATTTGGCAAACTTATCTAGTGCCACGACAAGTTCCCACTCACACCCTGTGTTTTAATCCAATTCCACGTACTCCCTCGGGTTCGGTTTATAAGTCGCTCACGGACTTTTAGATCTTCAATTTAACTATAGAGAAACATGTATTATATTATATAGAGAATATATATTTAGATTTGTTATCAAATGTAGTTTCTAACAATATAATTTTTATAAAAGAATATATATGTATGTTAGTTAAATCAGTGATCTAAAAATCCCTGCCCGACTTATAAACTGGACCGCAGGGAGTATCTATCTATTATTTTATTACAAAACAAGAGACATGCAGTCCGAAAAAGGGTTTCCCCCCGCTTTGTATACAAAGCATGCAGTCATTCAGTCACATAAGCTAAAGTTAACTTAGACATTTATTTATCCTATTAGAGTTGTTGAGATATGAAGGTTTGAAATTTACGTATTATATTTGTCCGGTGCAACTATTGCTAACCTGTCACGTATACAACCTGGTAAAAAAGACCACATCTTGCATAAATCCGTTGGTGTTTCCCGGAGCGCGCTCTCCTGCACGCGGAAAAAATATTTCAAAGCGTGAAAAAATTCCAAACAAAAAGTTTGGCGCATACATCTCGACATTATATGTGTGCACGTTAAGTTTCGAAGAAAACCAACATTGTTTGTGGCTTGTGTAAGAAAGACAAAAGGACGTCTTGTGAAAAGCATTTTTTAACACCAGATTTTGTCTTTTCACACGCGACACGTAAGTTGTCGGTTTTTCGTGGAAACAACTTTGTGAGCATATACAATATCGAGATGTACACGCTAAGTTTTTGTTTCAATTTTTTTAACATTTTAAAATATGTTTAAAACATATTTAAAAATAAGGAGCGCACGCTCCCATGTGCCAAAACACCGCTCTCACATCATTGGGCATAAACACATAGCCAATCAGATTGAATATGCAGTAAAGGTATATCTGATTAGAAAGACTATTTTTTTCAGTAACTAAATATAAAGACCACATTCCTCTGCATAATTAGACACTTACAGTAGAGGAGCTCTGTTGGGGCAAAGGCGTGTATCGTCCGCTCGGCCCTTGATTGCCTGATGCGTTTCCGTAGGTAGCAAGGCCGGCTAGTTGTAACACCTATGTAATTAAGCTACAGTAATTTCCCATTAATATTGTCAAATTATGGTGTTTTGCCAAGCTTACTTCTACTTGTCTCCAATTCATATATTCCATAAGTAATTGTCTTAAGGGAAACAACATCACCCAAAATTCCCCAAATGACCCTAGCATTATTTAAAGTGGACCAAATAAAAAGCATAACTGATTTTAAACATTTAAAAGTAACCTCAAACTTTGTGTGCCAGCTCAAAATATTCATTTACTACAAAATAAAAAGCAAAACGGAAACACAAACAAAAAACAGAAAATAGAAAAGAAAAATGAAAAATCTTACTTGTTGGACAGGGCTCTATGTGAACGGTGCACGGCCTTGCCTAAACCCGGGCATGGGCAGCCCGGCCCGACGACCCGGCCCGAAAAACCTGGGCCGGGCCGAGCCGGGCTTGACACTCGGGCCGGGTTCGGGCTTTGTTTTGCAGCCCGAAAGGTAGTTCGGGCCAGGCTCGGGCTTCTCTTTTTCTCTTTTTCGGGCCGGGCTTTCGGGCTTCGGGCCGGGCTTGCACGTACACGTACTAAAAAACACCGTTCGGGCCGGGCTTTCAGGCTTCGGGCTTGAGTTCGGGCCGGGCTCGGGCTTGAAATCAGGGAGTATTTTGGGCTTCGGACCGGGCTCGGGCTTGAGAAATGAAGGTCGGGCTTTTACAAGCCCGGCCCGAAACCCGGCCCGGCCCGACGTTTGCCCAGGTTTAGCCTTGCCCATTCCCCTGGTCGTCTCCTTCCTCTGGACGTGTTGGACGCACAACACATGTCCATGGCCTCGCACCCTAGGGTTCGCCTGCAGCACTCCCCCTTACAATTCTCTTCCTTTCCATCTGGATCCATCGTTGCGAGCACACCCAAGCGTAGCCGTCACCATGGCCTTGCTATTTGCGTAGCCACCGACCTTCTCTCAACATGATAGCGTGTCAAGGAGATTCGTCTCCCTCCACTACGTCGTCTGAGCTTGGATTGAAGCCCGAGAGCCGCACCGACGACTCCCGTGTCATCTTCTTTCACCTTGGCCACGACACGTCTCCGTCGATTGTGGCCTCATCACTGCGCCTCCGGCCTCCTCGAGCTTCTCTTCTGGCTCATGGTGAGTGGCGCTACGTTTTCCCTCTCAACTTGATCGTGCGTGAGCTCTCTAGCTGCTATCACCATTGCTTATGCTCCCGTCGCCGCGGCCTAGCTCGCTACTACTGTTGTCGTCCCTGTCGTGGCCAAACGAGCAAGCCAACGAGCTCAAGGCTACCCCTGAAGCTGCCTATAACTTTAGTGTTGGAAATATGCCCTAGAGGCAATAATATTGTATTATTATATTTCCACGTCTATAATTAAGAGTTTATATTCTATGATATAACTTCTATGATCCTGGAATATGTAATTCAGTGAAAAACTCATATGCACGTGTGGAATGATAAACGGTAAAAGAAGATTTCTAGTCTCGCCTCTAAGATTAGCTCAAGTGTTGTTGGTGATCACGTTCATCAGAAAGTTTGACAAGGGACTAGATAGCTCGAGAATGGAATTTGCCCCTTTGACGATAGAGATATATTCTTAGGTTTCTCTCTGTGTGACGACATCCGTCATCATCTGGCCAGGCACAGGTCGTTCGGATTTCTCAGAATAGAATAATTGAATGAGCAGGTGTCGATGGTTAATCTTGAAGCCGAGTCTCTCTGTCTTCTTATTTTATATAAAGATATAGAGAATAACTCGATCAATCATAGAATGATTTCGTGATCTGATCTTCATTTGGGCGGCTTTCGCTCAATCCGTGGCTCTAGTGATAAGGCAAATCAAAGGGGTCAAAAAAAAGAAGACATATAATTGTAGCTAACGGCGTTCGCTTGCCCTCGCCTGTCACTGTAGCGTATCAAGTTTCTCTCTTTCCAATCAGGATTATTTAGGTGTGAAGTGAAGTTCACCAGAAATACTAGATATATGCTTAACACAGGGTAGGGAATTCCATTCCACCAAAGACGTAAGGTGAACGAGCTCACCCCGACTCCAGAAAGATAGGTCAAACTGTGGACTGATGTTTAGTTGGGAATTGGCGTATAGAAAGGAGCAAGAAAACGTATGAGAAGGCGCAACAAAGCGCTCATCCCTTGTTCTTTCGCTTGGAAGCTCAATCCCCTCTCTTCTTATTTCGCCTCTACGCTCGTGCCTTCAAAACAAATTCTACGATCACGCAAGATCTATCTAGGAGATGCATAGCAACAAGATGGGAGAGTGTGTCCACGTACCCTCGTAGACCGAAAGCGGAAGCGTTTAGTAACGCGGTTGATGTAGTTGAACTTCTTCGTGATCCAGCCGATCCAAGTACCGAACGTACGGCACCTCTGCGTTTAGCACACGTTCAGCTCGTTGACGTCCCTCGTGCTCTTGATCCAGTTGAGGACGAAGGTGAGTTCCTTCAGCATGACGGCGCGGCGACAGTGATGATGATGTTACCGGTGCAGGGCTTCGCCTAAGCACTACGATGGTATGATCGAGGTGTGTGACTGTGGAGGGGGGCACCGCACACGGTTAAGAGAAACTTCTG